CATAAGACGCACTTTTTCCCCTCCAAAATGTGGGTGGGGAAGTCAGTGCGTCTAATGGTGTGAATGCAGCAATTTCGTCGCTGCTGGCCCCGTGGGGGGGAGCGTCGCAAGGGTCCGGGTGAGCCTTCCAGGACCCTTGCAAGGCTCCCCCACCCCCCCACGGGGCCAGCACCGGCGAAATCGCCACCTTCCTGGTGGGGGGAACGTCGCAAGAGTCCTGGAAGCTCACTCAGATCCTTGCGACGCTCCTCCCACCCAGGCACGGGCCAGCACTGGCAAAATCGCCAGGTTCTGGGAGTGTTTTGAGGCTTCCCAAGCCTCAAAACACTCCCAGAACCTGGCGATTTTGCCAGTGCTGGCCCGTGCGTGGGTGGGAGGAGCGTCGCAAGGATCTGAGTGAGCTTCCAGGACTCTTGCGACGTTCCCCCCACCAGGAAGGTGGCGATTTCGCCGGTGCTGGCCCCGTGGGGGGGGCCCCCTCTGGCCCCTGAGGGAGGCAGGGTGAGTCTCCAAAGGGTCCTAGAACACACCCTAGGACTCTTTGGAGACTGACCCTGCCTCCCCTGGGGGCCAGAGGGGATGAAACCGCCACCTTTGGGGGCTCTTCTGAGGCTTGGGAAACTTCAGAAGAGCCCCAGAAGGTGGCGATTTCACCCCCTCTGGCCCCCGAGGGAGGCAGGGGGAGGCTCCAAAGGGTCCTGGAACACACCCTAGGACCCTAGGGTGTGTTCCATAAGATGGACCTCTCCATAAGGCTCACCAAATTTTAGGAGAAGAAAGCAGATAATTTTTTTCCTGTGTTCTAAAATTTGGTGCGTCTTATGGAAAGGTGTGTCTTATGGAGCGAAAAATACGGGTAATCAATTTTTGTTCTTCTGATACACTGTGAACCAAAAGAAAATTACTTTTCTAACAAGACTGAACCCACTGGAGAAAATGCAGTCCTGTGGAGAAAATGCAAAATATCTGGGGGTAAGGAAGTGAGAAACAGTTGGGTTTTAAAAAAGATTTTACGGGATTGATTTGTATGTCTCATAACTAAAATACTACCTGAAGTAAAAGGGACAAAAGGGGGCTGTTTTTTCCTGCCTTGCATCAGGTACATTTTGACATTTTAAATAAACACATATAATAACAAATGAGAGCAAACTGGTGCCTTGTCAAGAAGGTGGACATTTTCTGAATGTAGAGACAGAGAATGCTCCTGTCAACAATTTTATTACACATTTTAGCAGATAAATGATAATTAACTTTTCCAAAGAAAACTCAGGCCTTCATGGCTTTTGGCAAATGGGATTGTCTTATTTAATACATTCACTTGATTGTATGCCATTTAAGACACGTTGGGGGAATATTTCACTAATTTCATTTTATCTCTAAAACCATGGAGGATTCTAATACTATTACACTGTACTGACATACAAGCCATTAAGTGTTGTTAGTACATTTTCACTTTATTCCTTATACTGTAATTTGAATATGGGTGCTAAATTTAGCAACAGCATAACTAATTGGAGGATGCCAGAATACATTTGTTCAGGTGGCAATGCAGATTTTTTAAAAGTAGGATTTCCTCCCCCCCCCCTTCTGTTACTGGTTTCCATAATTCAGGTTTTTTTTTAATAACTCCTCCAGTTTGTGTTCATCATTGCTGTGAGCTTTGTTGGTCCAAAGTGGAGTTATAAGGATTTCATATTAATAATGTTATCTGTGTCTTTTTATTTGCTTTCTCCCCCATACTGTATATATTTATTGTTTGTTCTGATTGATGGCCAACCTGAATGTCATTAGTAGAAGGAAGAAATATAGACGAAAATACAGTGGTACCTCGCTTAGCGATGTTAATCCGTGCAGCAAAAATTGCTGCTAAGCGATTTCATTGCTAAGCGATATTAAAAAGCCCATAGAAACGCATTAAAATGCCATTAATGTGTTCCTATGGGCTTAAAAACTAACCTTAAGCGAAAATCCTCCATAGGGGCAGCCATTTTCGGTGCCTCTAAAGCGAGGCAACACAGTGGGCGGCCATTTTGTTTACCCGGCAGCCATTTTGGAACCACCGATCAGCTGGCCGAAAATGGGGGCTTTGCGATGATCGCTTCCCTGCGATCATCGCAAAGCGAATTTTCCCCATAGGGACTATCACTAAGCAATTGCAAAAGCGATCCAAAAACATCATTGCAAAGCGATTTCTTCATTAAACGGAGTGATCTCTATGCGAGGCACCACTGTAAACACAAGCATATACATTCATGATAATAATGTTACTGATTTCTGATGGCAGCTGGAGTCTGATATTTGTGAAAATAAATCATTGTTTTTCCTTATTCAGACACTTTCTCTTTTTTTCTCTTTTTGCACCATACAATTCACACTACTTAATGAAAAGTTTCTTGTCATTTAGTTGTTCTTCCTCCACATAACTTCTTCAATTAGTAGCAGCTTTTGCAATGAGACTTTCACCAATACAGCCATTAAGTTACTGAAATCCTGTTGTGGAACTGTACATCATGCAGTGAGGATGATACCATCATGTTGATGATGTCACAGCCATTTGGGGCAGTACAAAACTTCCAAAAGCCTCTTGTAGGTCCATCCCAGTGCGAGGACCATTAGTGGTGATTTTCCACCTTCAGATTGCTCCCCCTCCTGTTCCATGGATCTCTACAGATCCCTGAAACCTGAGGAAGGAGCCGTAAGTAGATTTTTATTGCCCTGAAACAGCCACACCATGGTCTCAACTGCTGGCTTCATCCTTGTTGCATGATGCAACAACATAAACAGGATTTCAGCCAATGTGATTCAGCATATACTTAGGCTTTATCAATTATGTTTTGGTCATAAATGGTAAAAATCCCTTTTAAAACCATCTTGATTGGTTTCTGATTTCCGCGCCTGACTTTTTATAATCTCCCAGGTGCATTGTACATTTCTTTTTCATTCGTTAAGCAGAACACTAGAAAACAAAATAGTACATTACTCTCTCATATTGTGTTCTCTAGTGTGTGGGTACCCAGACAAGCGTCAGATAGTGGTTTTATGAGTGTCACTTATTTCTGGGATGGCTGAGAAACTCCATTTCCAAATCCATTACCTTTGCTCTTTTCTGGGGATTCCACCTGTACCTTTCCATAGATCAGTCTGTCTCTTTTTGTTTGGAATCTCCTAACATTAATGATAGCAAGGATTCCACCCACTTTTTATATATGAGAATACATTGTTTTGTTTGCAGTCATTGGAATTCTGTGCCAATACTTCAGTTTTGGAACATATCATGCACATCCTTAGAAAGTCACTGCATGAGCCTTTGAGTGACTTGTTGTTCCATTTGCCACATTAAGATGTTTCTACAAAATCACACGTGAGTTCTTTCTGCACCTGTGTGAATGTCTTCAGAATCTTCTAGAACCTGTAAAATGTGTTAAAACATGCCCTGTCACCATGCATGCTCCCTACCTCAAGAATTGTCTCAATCTCTTTCTTTCCAGTACTAAGAGAACATCTCGGGAGTTTTTCTTAGACCCTAGCACCCTTCATCTATAGTCAAATCATCTTATGTATGGTAGTTCTTTGTTAGTTTCTCTTATTTTCTTCCTTTTTATCATTGTCATTCCTTTAAAAAGAAAGAATAGTGTGAGTCAGTAGTTTGTATTCACTTGTTTTTCACTCTGGGCCCGTTCAAGAGGTGTATGATCTATAATATTGAAATCCCCCTCCCCAATGGACATTGAAAGTGGGTACCTTGCCTTGGTGAGGATCACCAAACACAGCATTACCAATTCTGCAATTTTTTTTTTACTAAGATTGCCATCCCAAACGGACAGTCTCACTTAAAGTTTTATTTGTAGAAGAAGGCCTTTCAGCCTGTTGACATCTAAGGAGACGTCAGTTATGAACTGAAAACAGGCAACCTATCACTGGGCAAGGTTTTAATGGCAGTCATATGTTTAGAGTGCCATCAGATAAAGTTCTACTATAAGTGATTATTATTTGTAATAAGGGAAGTCACAACCTTAGTGACTGACTATCTAGGAGAGGTTTTAAAATGACATGGTTTACATTTTGTTGTTCCTAAATTTGTTTTACTAATGCTTTACCTAATTGTACCTTAGTATAATGTTATTAATTCATTTAATATTTGAATAATCCACTGTTTTTAGGTTTGATACTGTGTTTTAATGATGTAAGCCATCTAGGATCCTTTCTTACATTTTGAGATCCCCACCAGATAATATTTACTTAAAATATTTTTACTCAGCCTCCTAAGCAGCACACTTTCTTAGGAGAAAAGTGGAGTAAAAATATTTTAAATAAATTTCATCCAGTGAGGGACTCAAAATGTAACTTTCACACAGATTGCAAGGCAAGCATTGTACCCTTTGTTTGGCCCAGCCTCAAGAGATCATTCCTTCATTTGGGAGGAGTTGTCTGGATGGCATTTGGTGGTTGGATGACAGGACTTCGCCACAAGCTGCTGTTCTTCAGTGTTACAAATGTAATCCTTTGCTTTGGCTGAACTATTAGTAGCTTTGTTGGCTTTGTGTTGGCCACATTCTTTGACTTGGCTCCCACATGGGCACTAGGCAGTTGGAATCCAGACATGCATTCTCTGCTGTCTCCAGCACTAACAAAAGAAAAGTATGCTTCTTCACTACTGAGATCTCCTGAGAGACAAAAAGTTATCCCCCCCCCATTTCCCTACACCAAAGAGAAGTTCTAAGAAGAGTTCATCCAAGGGAATCAAACTTATCCTCAGTCTGCTAGAGTTCTTGAGGGTGCTTCTGAAACACTTTGCATCATCCAGTGTGAGAGGAGGTTTCTTTTCTGATTGGTCATCCTGCAGAATCAAACCTCCAGTTTTCCGTTGTACCTATAAAGTGCCTTCACTTTGTTTCTAGGCTTGGTAAAGTTCAGCTTTCCCTTCAGGTTTCAATGATGTGATGCTGCTGTAATTGTGGCAGTATCCACCTTATGCAACTCGGTGGTTTTTTTGCTTGCAGGATGTTTGATGTGGGAGGCCAGAGGTCAGAGAGAAAGAAGTGGATCCATTGTTTTGAAGGAGTGACAGCCATCATCTTCTGTGTTGCTCTTAGTGCCTATGACTTGGTCCTGGCCGAAGATGAAGAAATGGTAAGGAAAGGCTCCCGTTTGCAATCCATATCTGAAGGGAACATGCTGGCTCTTCAAGATAGGAATCACCCACTTTTGTGTGTTGTGGGCTTTGGGTTGTTTGAGCTAACTTACATTTTTGCCTTTAACTCTATAATTATTGGAGTTTGGGGCGCTGAATTTTTCTTCTTTTTGACTGTCAGATATTCATTTTGTACGCATATTTTAATAAAGGATTTCTAGGTGGTGCATGATAGCAAATGCAAAAAATTTATTGTGCTCTGAAACATGTTGTTTGAGGTAATGCATTCCTTCTATATATATACTGTATATATCTCAATCCCTTCTAGTGACCCTCCAGAGTCCTCTCCACCCACCTTTTTTTCTTTTAGCATACAATGCTCTCATCCTGTACCCAAAACCAATTCACAAAGATGGTGCTATGTTTGTTTCTTTATAATCAGATGCATGCTTGCATAAAATCTTAAATTTAAAAATGTACTGTAGTGCAGGTGCTTTTAGCGTACTATTACATTTCAAATAAAAATGCACTTTGGAAAAGTAATGGGATGGTAGGATAAGAGGAAATAAATATAAAATTACACATTTATACTGAAGCATTTAGTAGTGTAAACTTTGATTCTATGCATTGCATAGGATGGTATATTAAAATAGGTGTTAACATAACAGCATTTCTGCTCCTGTTCGGAGTCAGAAGTAGTCCTTCAAATGATATTGAACTGCAGTTCCCAGCATTCTTCACTGTTGACTGTGAAGCTTAAAAATGATAGTAGTTACAGTCCAACAACATCTGGAGGCCTAGACTTTGCCTGTTCCTGTTCTATGTTATTCTGAGTTCGATAAGCAAACATTTTATTGTAAAATTGTCTTTTGTTTGTTCACTGCATATGAACTCTGCCAGGGGAAGAGCTTCCACATGATTTGGACTACATTTCTGTGATTCACAAACATTTCCCACGATCCTCCTCCCTTTGTCTTCTTAAGCCACCCCCATTGCATAATCACAAAATGTATCTATTGTAGTACAGCTTAAATGTAATCCTTTTATGAGACCAAATTCTACAGTCTCCTAACATAGATCAGCTCTATTGTCTACTATATTGCCTAGAAATGGGAAGGCCTAAGTGTTGACTTCCATATACTCTGAGTTTTCAACTCCTTTACCCCACTGTGTGGGGCATTGCTCCAAGTTGTTCTTGGCCTACTTCCTGAGTCATTGTGTGTGTTGCTGTGATAGAATCGGATGCACGAGAGCATGAAGCTGTTTGACAGCATCTGTAACAACAAGTGGTTCACGGACACCTCCATCATCCTCTTCCTCAACAAGAAGGATCTCTTTGAAGAAAAGATCATCCACAGCCCCCTGACCATCTGCTTCCCAGAGTATACAGGTAATGAGTGGTGTGGGTGTGTGTGTGAGAGAGACTAAAAATATAACTGCCATGTCTCTCACATGTGGTTAGCCATAAACAGTTTACTCTGGCTGGAAGTATACTTCTGGTTCAGAAATAGCAGAGATCAACTGTGGGACAAAGAGCAGAGGGGCAAAGTCTGTGGCTTAGTACTGGGAGCAGCATAGCAATCTCCGTAAAGAAGACAAGAGGCAAGTTTCTGAGAACCATGTGGCTGTGCTGAATCACATCTTGTAAGGCAGTCATATGCCTGTTGGGGGATTCTGGGAGTTGTATTCCAGCACACCTTGAAGGGAACCATTTTCAGGAAGGCTGATTGGAAGAATATGTGAGCTTGAAGCTTGAAGCAGCATTGAGGCTGCTCTTCTTTCAGAATGCAAGAAAGGACAGCCAATGTCCATATTTTTGTAAAGCACCTAGTCCCTTTTGCAGCAAGAGTGAGCATGTGGATTGTCAGCAAGCATTGTTTTGGGACTCCACAGCCAAACTGGATCCTGTCTCTGGCATTTTGGGCTTTGTTGGTAGATTGAAATTGTCAGAGGCTAGGCCCGGAAGCATGTAGGTTAGCCAGGGTTCTGAGTTACATGCCACGTAAGGATGTCTGCTGCTTTTACCCTGTTCTTTTTTTTTCAGTTGGGTTGATGATGAATTAATCAGCTCTTTTGTAGAAGAAAGGTATTTGAAATGGAGTTTGTAAATATAGCCAACGGAGTGCAAGTGTACACTTCTTAGGAAGTCTGTTCTAAGGGATTATTTTCTCTTGTTTCGGGCCCATTGGCTAGCTTTTTTTCTCCTGCCAAAAGCATGTAAACCACATCCCTGATGGATCTTTTCAGTATTGTTGTTGCATGTTATCTCATTGGAACCGACTTAAAAAGCTTAATAGGGCTTTCATGGTAAGCAAGATGTATAAAGAGCAGTTTTACCAGTTTCACACCCCCCGGTGAGATTCCATGGCTGAGTGGGAATTTGAACCCAGGCCTCCTGAGTCCTAGTCTGTCACTCTATCCACGACTACACTGCACTGGGTACTGTAGCTTACCATATGTAATTTAACTCTATTGTTCTGAGTTCCATGAGAACTCAGGGGAAACCCAGGTTCCACCCCTTAGTGGGTCACCTTTGCTTTGAACT